CCCTGGCTCACCGCTAGTTAATAAGTGTCCTAATTAGGACGCAGTCTCTCCTCCACAGCCTATTTCTGAACGCGCCGAGTATGTTCCTGCCTTAATGACGGATTGTTAACGAGGCCTCAGATCAACGTTCATATTCTTGGGGATTTCTACGAATTACAAATGAGCTCTCTTCTCGCCTCGGTAGATTTATCTGGGTTAGCTGGTGGGGGGGAGAGGCAGAGTCTGGGAGAACTCAGCCAACAGGACTCTCCCCGAGCCGCCCCGGCACGGCGAGCGACCCCCGAACGCGGGCAGAAGGAGGGGGCGAGCCGTGGCCGGGGGTGTTGGCCCGTGACAATCTCTCCCCGGGGCTCTGCCCCTGCGCCGCTGCTGCAGCCAGTCCCTCACAGGCCAGGAGGGGACCACCGGAGCGTGCATGATTGCTTAGCAAAGTACAAGGCCAGGCTTGTCTGCTGACCGCGGGAGACGCCAAAGCTGTGAGAAGCTTTGCTGGAAGCAGCAGATATCACACAGCTCTGGATTAGAGCTTCAGAAAGCCCTCGGCTAAGCACAAACTCTGCTAAGCCCCCGTGCCCAGTCCTCTGCGGAGGCAACAGGGTTTGGAGAGGGAAGCAGGATGCCCAGACCCACCCGCAGCTCTCACCTTACTGAACCTCTGTTCCAGCACTTCGTGTTCCCACTGAAGATCCTTCAGCTCCTTCTGGGTGACTTTCAGACGGGCTTTTGTGTTCTGCGAGAGGGAAGGGACAGTTAAAGAGCACGGGTTCCTCTGGGAGGGGTGGGGAGCGGGTTCTGGCAAGGGAGGAGAGCGACCAGCAGAGATACAGGGGAGAAAAACCAGGCAGTGCCCACACCAACTCCCTTCCCACTCCGCAGCAGGGGCTGCTCTGGTTTCTTGCTGCCAGAGTCCCGGGAGTCCCATCCAAGATCTTCCAACCACCCAGCTAAAGCTGAAAGGGCCTCAAAAGGACCTCACTCAGCGACCTGGCCAGGCAGCTCCCAGCCGAATGGCAGGGGTCCCTGCCTCCAGGAGAGAGCCAGGGTGGCCCGGGGAAGGGCAGGGCCGGCCACTCACCGTCAGGGCCTCCTTGTCCTTGTTATAGTGGGCCAACTTCTTCTGCAGCTCAGACACCTCCTCCCGGGCCTGCTGCAGGGGCTCCTTCAGCTGCTTGTTCTGGAGCAGCACGTCCGCTTTCTCCTTTTCCAAGTGATTCTCTCTCTTCTTCATCTCCTCCACCTCCTCCTGTGCTTGGGAACACGAGTGCCAACTCCTGAGGGCTGCTCAGCTCCTCGGAGCTTCCCCGCACCATCCG